GGGGGCGGGTATGTCAGACACAGCGCTCGCATTCCCCCTGCACCTCTGGCTTTCTATCTCTTACAGGTTCCCGGTAGAATAAAAGCCGTTTCGAGGCTGAAATCCAGGAATTGTTCTAAAAAACAATCTTTGTTTGTTTGTTGATTACCAAATTAGAAATCCCCACAAACCTTCACTGCTTTACAGAGCTCCCCCTTATAGTAACATGTATGTTATCCCCAAAGCTGCAAAGGAAACATTCCTCAGTACCTCAAAAGATATAGAAGCTTAAGAAACCCTATGATCCAGTTTGTAACTGTATCAAGCATGAATCTTTTAAGCTATTTTTCTCCCTTTTTTATTCTCCGGGAAATTTAACATGAAAGATTTTAAATATTATCAAGTAAAACTATGAGAATATTTGGACCTTGAACTTATTATTGGAGAAATTACAATCTAAAAAGGAAAATTTAATTATTATATCTTAATTTTGTCCTACCCTTTATGGCTGTGAGAAAACTAAAGTGATTGCTAATGTTAATTGATCGCTGTTGTTTGTGAGTAATCAATTACTACCAATACTTTTAGATATGCCCGAAAAACTTTTGCAGTTTTGCAGTTTTTTACTTTTGTAATGAAGAAAATAGAACACCAACACTTTAGAAATACACCCTCGACAGGTGAATTCTCTGTATAGAGAATTCAAGCATGCTTCTTTTGACTTTTTCTTGGAATGTTGCAAGGGACAGGATTTTTTTCATGGTACTATCCTCCCAAGACATACATTAGAAAATTAATTTACTCCCGAGACAGTATTTAAAATCAAAGAACAACAAAAACCCTTGACATGGAACCAATTTTATTTAGAAATAACAGAAAAGAAACCTTCATCTCAGAGCAACTTTGATATTTTTCCCAATGTGACAATATTCTCTTCCTTGCAGTGAATTATGAAAATTTCAAGATTACAAGACATCAAACATTCCATAGTTCTGCTTAAATCAGATAAAATTTTAAAAGATAATGAAGACATGTTACCGAACACATTAAATGACTTTTGGTGGGGTACATGTTTAAATAAACAGCTCTCAACACGGCAGATAGCTTCACCCCTAACAGCGAACAAAACACTTCCTACTTATCACAAAGCGTCTCAGCAGCATTCGACAGCATTCAATAACCCTTTGAAACCGCCCCATAGTAATCTGGAAACTATAGCAAATGGTTTAAGCGTTCTTTCTGCAAAACAGCTCTTCTTGGGAGAATATGGGTGGCTCTGAAAAGAGCCTTTGGGTTTTC